AAGGAGATTCCATCTATTTAAGCCTTGATAAGAAGGGCAGGTGTGATAGGCCTATAGCCATGACCATGAAGGCAATGGTGATCCATGAGAAACCGGAAAGGGTAATCATGAAGAAAATTCGTGCGAGAGAGGGAGGGAAGTCACTGTTTCCCTGGGAAACAAAATATTTTGAACGAATTTGGAAACAAATAAAAGAATTCCTAGAGTCCAAGGTAAGGCTGGGAGTTTTTGTTGAACCTGGAGCCTAGTCCTGTATGATTTCTGCTTGAATTTCCCGCACTACACGGGACATTTGGTAGCCGTTAGTCAAGGGGGCATCCGCGTCCACGAAAGGAGCGAAGGAATGACAATTAGTAGATCATACTGACAGGTTTACGAGGCATAAGGCTGAATTGGCCTGCACAAGGTCAAGGTCATCAGCCAAGTAGATATTTCCAGATTTCCTCAACCTGTCACATGCGCAGATGCGGCGCTTCTCCTTCGTTGTTTGATCAAAAAGGAAGCTATGGTATATTCCCTTCAACCCTGGGGTCGAAAACGATAAGTAAAGGGAACAATCCTGACGCAGCGTTCGCGTGAACAGTAGTGGAGTCGGACTCGTTTCCGGTACGTATTGGGCTCCGTCAACGTTGCATTCTCTCCCTCGTGTACATGATAGAATTTATAGGCGTAGCCTGAGCCTCGAGGGGTCAACATCGGCGGTATCGAGATTAAAATACTTCTCTGCCGATGGCCCTTGATCTCGACAGAAGCTGCAGAGCGTGCTCGACCGGTTCGACTCAGGATGTATTGCAGCCGGAATGAAATTGAGCGTTCCCAAAGCGCAGGTTATGGTCCCAGTGTGAAATTTTCAAGGAGGCGATATTGTCGGTTTTTAAGAGTGTTTACCTCCCCACCCTCAATTATGGTCAGGAAGTGTGGGTACTGACCGCAATAATAAGATCGCAGATACAAGCTGTAGAAATGAGGTTCTTGCAGCGGAAGGTCAGTGTCACGAGTCTTGAAAGTTTGCGAAGTACTGCCATCCGCGAGAACATGAGCAGCTACGCATTCGGATCGAAAGATCCGTTGGTTCAGACACGTCTCCTGCATGCCTCTCGGGAGAATCTCAAAGAAAACCTTCCAATCTGAAATGACCGACAAGAGACCAGCCCAGGTCTCGAGAAAGTTGGTTGGACTACATCGCGAATAATTGTCACGGGAGGCTTGGAATACCACCAACCGAGCTTGAGTCCGTTGCCCAAGATCGCTAACACGAGAATAATCCTAAGCCTGCTCGAGACACGACACCAATAAGTTGGAATGAACGGCTCCGAAAATGTATGCATGTAGTAATAGGAAAACCAAATTTCAATGGCTATCACTTTCTTCAACCCCTCCTCCCCCTGTGCCATGTTTTAGAAAAATGATTACAGGAACAAATCTATTAAGAGCTGAAAATCTGAAATGTTCAATAATTACTCGGTAGACTTTAAGGGTGTGATACAAAGTGGAAAAGTAATTTGGATGCAATAACATTCCACAAAGAACGCACTAAAATCAGGTTTTACTTTTCTTATGCTGCATGCACAAAACAAAGGGCATTGTAGGGGAAATTTTTTTTTTCAATTTCTGTGAGTGGGATGTACCTGCACCGCCTTCACATCCTCACCCTGATCAAACGAGGAATCCGTCTAATTCAGGCACGGAATTCATGACAGCAGCTGCACCACTTCAAATGAATACCTCTCTCACGCGTTTCGAGCACATGACTGCAACTTGTGGGTCGTCTGCAGGGGTTGGTAATATAAGTGTGGGATTGTGTCCGAGGCCTTTCTGGCTCTTTCCCCTCGAGTACTATACAAAATGAAAACAATCCCCTATAGCAGGCTTTGCAATTCGATTTTCCTTTTCAACGGGTGTTCTTTCCGTTGATCTCCAACGATCCGAATCAAGACGATAATCCGAATCAAGATCGTGCGTCTGTTTGGCCTGTAATTTGAATGCTCAATGTGGCGTCAGTTTCCCCTAAATACGAGGGGTGTTCCAAAAGTTTCCGGAAAATATTTCTAAAAAAAATAACTAGAGGTCGTAGAGGGTAGACCTTTTAACCAAATACGCCCGAGGGTATGGAAACATGTTTCCTTCAGTCGTAAATCATTTATGTGGTTGCCTTCATGGTCTTCACATGGAGAAAGAGGACCTCATTTTGCAGCAGCGTTCCGTGATCCGCTTTCTGTGTTTGGAGGGTGCTAGCTCGACGGAAATTCATCGGCGGTTGGAAAAAGTGTTTGGGCCGGAAACCCTTAGCAAGGCACAAGTTTTTGAGTGGATTAGAATATTTAAAGAACGACAGGTAACCGTTAAAGACGCGAATCGCAGTGGGCGGCCGTCGGTTGCAGTGACTGAGGAGAACACAGCCCGCGTGCATGAACTGGTGCAAGGTGACAGACGCATCAAAGTGCTTGAAATTGCTGCTGATCTTGAGATAGGCCACAACGCTGTTGTAGAAATGCTTAGACAATTGGGCTATCGCAAAATCACAGCCAAATGGATTCCAAGAAACATAACGCTGGAGCAGAAACATAGAAGTGTCGATGTGCGTCAGGACTTGTTGCAGAAACATGCCGAAAATGGCATTTCTTTTCTGAGCTCAATCATCACTGGAGACGAAACGTGGCTGCCATTTTTCCTTCCCGAGACAAAAGAACAGTCAAGAGAGTGACCCCTAGGCGTCATCGCCTAGGCCAAAAAAGTTCAAGTCGCAGGCCTCTGTCAAGAGGACAATGATAACAGTTTTTTGGGACCATAAAAGGGACATTGCTCATCGATTTTCTGGAGCCCACTGCAACCAAACGCTCAGCGATACTGCGAGACTCCGAAGAAACTCAAGAAGGCAGTTTCGAAGAAGAGACCAGCATTGCGCGGGAAGAAACTCTTGCTTCTTCATGACAACGCCCGGCCGCACACCGCTTTGGTAACTTCCGCATTTCTTGCCAAGTTTCAGTGGACTGTCGTTCCACATCCGCCCTACAGCCCTGATATTGCTCCCTCAGACTACCACCTCTTTGGATGCCTGAAAAATCACCTACGGGAAATTCATTTCAAGGAAGGTGGGGACCTCAAGGATGCAGCAACAAGCAGGCTCCGACAGCAGCAGCCCGACTTCTACAAACAGGGAATATTTTATTTGCCCTCCCGGTGGCAAAAGTGCTTGTATCAACAGGGCAAGTACGAGGGATTTCTCAAAAGTTCTGCCAGTAGCCCACAAGTCGTCATCGGAGGCGGCCGCAAAGTGTTACTTTGGGGCTAGTGGCAGAACTTTTGAGAAATCCCTCGTATTTTGAAGGGTAGGGGAGATGTTGAAGAATATACGTGCGAAGTTTCTATTCATTCGACTCAGTAGGTATTTTTTTAGAAAATCATTCCAGAAACTTTTATAACACCCCTCGTAAGTAGGTCTCTTGTCAGGTCATTAAAAATTCTCCTCCCATATGTCTCATCTCACTAGTACGAAAATTTGGTGCTGTTTGGATGTTGAATATGAATTTTACGGCATCATTACTACCATGGCATGGAAAGGATTATAGTGATGCCATTTATTGCTCTGTTACCTTGACATTTACCTTCTAGCAGTATATAAAAAATTTATATATTTTTCCTATGAATATGAGATGACAAATTGGAATTTCCCAAGAAGGATATGCAAGTGGACTAAGCAGGCTGCCTGCCTGTGCCTCTCTGTTCCTGCACACCTTGTTTGCAGGTTCACAAGGGCTTCTTTTTAGCCTGTCTTCTAGGTGTCAAAGCTATGGCCACTGGGTCAAGAAGTAAGGATTTTCAGAGTTCATTATGCTACCACCCTCCCTCCTTTCAGTGTTTTGCACCTTTGTTATGTCAACCCCCAACCAGATGAATCAAGCCTAATGTTATACTTGTAGACCCATGCTTAGGATGTGAGCCTCTCCTTCATGCAGGCAGGGATGGGACTCTCAAAGGGTGAATGTGGGAATTGGTACCCCTTTCTAAAATGATCAGTAGTGTGTGGAGCACTTTAAAACTGCTACATGATAACCATCCTGATTCTTTATACATATTCACTTGTAGGCTGTAGGCCTTCATGAATTGCCACCAAAATTGTAGCTTTGGCAAACTTGATGAATGGGAACACATTTCATTGGTGTCATGTGGTTAGAGATAGACATGGAGGGGGGCACAAGGCATACAATTTCTCTAATCACAACAACACTCACCTGCCCACTTGTGCATAGATAGGTCACGGTTGAGTCCATACCACCTAGGGATATTGTGTTGCTCCTTAAGTTAGGCCAGGTTAGGTTAGGTTATGGGGGGTGGTGTGTTTTATATATAAAAGGAATCCCAATCAATGTAGCATGTTTCCAGTTGAATTCAATTGGAAACACTTGAGACTGAGGGAGTGCAATTTCACTAGGGGGTATGCGTTTAACCGTTACCAAATCGGGGGTTGACATATTGAATGCTGGAAACACTGGGTGGGAGTTGACATAATGAACTATGTCCAGATTTTCTAATCACTCCACAAGAGGAACAAATGCAGCAAAATGAATCAAAATCTCAGTTGGTCAACAATTGTGTTTTACCTCAATTTCACAGCAAAAGGCTCTTAAGAATAATATTACATTTTGTTCTTCTAACACGAATATGGAAAGTGATAATGATGTTGAAAGGCTCAATGAATGAAGTTTGGAGGTCAACTCAGGGCAATTGGTGAAAAGAATGAGAAATTGAAAGATGGGGGTGAGACTATATGAAATCATCAGTGCATATACAAAGAATTTTATGATGTAGATTAACCCTTTGCACTCTGTTTTTCTTGCAATGTTATGGACATTGCTGGGTCATGCCCAACAGTTGATCGCAAAAGGTTAATTAAGTGGCCAAAGTCTGGTGAAAAACCACTACATTTTCATGTTGATGCCAATATTACCCAGTGATGAACTAAATATGTAATCATTTCTTTAGTAATATTCAAGATACTGTTAGACATTTATTTTGAACATATCAATTTTCAACTTCACCTTCCTTCTGGAGGGATCTTGACTTGAAGCAGAGCAGGATTTGGCATCTGCAAAGACAACTTCAACATCTGCACCTTCTGGCTTTGGTTCATCTTCCTAAAAGGGAAAATGCATGTCAATGACTTTTTGGCTAGTTACAAACCAAAGCAATTCATTTCCATGGGGTTGGCACTAACAAATGTGTGTCCCAGTTCAAGTAGCAGATCAGCTGAAGTAGATCCCTCATCCTCATCATCCTGTCCTCTGGACTCAGTATCATCTTCACTATCAGAGTCAATACTAGTATCTCCACTATGATGACATCCCAGGATGAATGAAATGGCAGGATTTGTGCACATCTTGAAACTTGAAGATGGTGGAGACATGTTGCTGGCCCATGACTCATCACTTAGATTACTAGAAACACTTGAGGCACTTAGTTCTGAGGAGGAGCTTATAGTTCTTGACCAAAAATTGTTCTTCCCAGAAGAAGCAGAACTTGCAGTGGAAACTTTAGGAGGTATTGGGATTCCATGGGGAATGCTCTGTGGAATATGGGTGGATGTGATGAAAACAGCAGATTTATCATCAAGGGTTGATGGAGGCCCCCAAGAAAAACTCTTGCACAATTCTCTTCCTGTAAATGGGGTCTCTTTGTGTTCTTTACTTCTTTCACTGATGCTAGAATCTTCAGCTCTCTCCCTTGTCCTGAACTGTTGAGGGAAGAATGGGGGAGCTTCAGGATTTAGCATACTGGAGGACTTGGATTCAAATCTCAATGCTGCAGAATTCTCAGGATAAGAAAATGTAGTCATGGGAGATGGTTCTTGCATCTGAGACATCAAAGATTGGATCACAGGTAGACTCAACAAATTTGCTTCAACTGCACTGCTAGTCCCCCTTAGCTGATGGCTCATAATTCCAGTAAAGTCACCAACAAGGTTCCATGCTGCTGACATGGGGGGAATGATGTTCCAGCTTTGTGAATGAGAAGGGAAGGCAATGTTGCTTCTGCTGTTGATAGTGCCCATGTATAGTTGATGATCCTTCAGTCCTACTGCATTAGGTGTAATGAACTGTTGTCCTTGAAGGCAAAGCAGGTCACTCACTGGTTGCATCCAGAAGGGCCCATCCATCTTATTGGAAAAATGAATTGGCTTAGAATGCCTCAAAAGTCAGGGTCGCATACATGGAATTCTACGAAGATCCTCAAAGGTGTCGAATACGAACCAGGCAGACGATGTCCAGTTAGGCCTATGGTAGGCCTCTATACAGGAAACGGCTATTGTACGCGTTGGGCAATAGAGATACCATGATCTAGCTCCTCTATATTCACGCAAGAGACGCAAGAAAACAATCCGTCTTGTCTCTGGGGGCGACTGCGATGTCTGGGGAAGGGCATCGATGCTCAATCTTCTGAATTTCTGCTTTTCTTTCGCTGAGGAAACATGAAGAGGCCACATAATGTTTCATGTCAGTCCTTCTCTCGTTCTTTAGTCGGAAATCTCCATTCTTTTCCGTCTGGAAATGAAGCACTACATCACTTGCTAAGTCGACTACACCGAGACACAAAACCGAAAACATCAGGAAACGAAGGGTACAAACGCTTTTCACTTTTTACATAGTCGCCATTGATGAGGGGCATGACGTCACTGCCACGAATTATGCAAACTTTCGTCAGATGCGACGTGTTTTCACTTTGGATTTGTAACTTAGTTGTAACTTTCTCCGTGACTGTACTATATTAGGAAAAAGAAAAAATAAATCCTGTAAAGAAAACGTTCAATCCAGCTGGAAAAATACAACAGCCTCCATTGGAAACAGCTGGATTCTCAGCGGGTGCAGGTAGTAAATTTGCATGCTTTTTCAAGCTTGACTTTTTCGAAGAGGATGAAGTTGGAAATTTCCAGAAACAAACCAGGAATCTTGCTTGAAGCAAGATTCTTGACGCAAATTGCTGTATACCCAAATTGAATTTGTTATATGCTTAGAAAAATGGCATATTTGTACAAGAACTCCACATTCATTTGTATCCCTTACGGAAGTACCAGCCCACACAAACACAAATATATCCATAAGATATCCCAGAGATATCCCCTTGAGACGAGAGGTTCCAGAGATGACTTCTAGGGACATCTTAGGATGTCAAAATGTCTGGGCGCAACGACGTCCCAAGGATCTCATTTTCTGGCAGCACAAGTATTTCCGAAGGATGTCCCAGGAACAAGTGAGAAGTCTCAGGTAGTACTTGCAAGCGCCTTCCTATCCGCAATGGACTCATTTCCTACCGCACAGGAGAACCCATTATATTTGAAAATGTCTTATTTGATCTAGGGACACCTAATCCTAAGTTCTTGACCGATTTAAGAGTGACGGTTGTGGGGAGGAAAATCCTGTTCCTATAGGGCCCTTCACAGAGGCACATCTCCAAGGGACAAAATTTAGCACCTTTACACGAGGGGTCATGGACGAGATGATTTAGCCTTACGCCTTTACCTTGTGAGACGGCGCAGAGTCCTGCTGGAAAGCTCAATCTTCTTAAGCTAAATGCCCTGGCATTTTTGCTCAAGAAAACGGGGAAACGAAATAACAGTATTTAACAAATTTTTGTGATTTTTTTTTTATTTTTAAAATGGCATATCCTAGTTGCTTACTGCCTAGTCCCTCTAGTCAACATTGCCATTATTGCTCATTCATAAAAGCATCTAGTTTCTTCTTTAAAATAGTCAAGGAAGAGGTAGCCACTACGTCGTAGTCTAACGCATTTCATGCAGGGTCGGGGCAAGTGAATTTTCCTGGCCCCCCCCCCCCTCCAATTGTGGATGAGAACAATGTGTAAAACGCCCACCCCTATTGTTATACTGTTCAAATACGAAAACTGAGTAAAACGATGCTAAGGCCTAATCTTAGCGTTAGGCCATCTGCTGACCGTAAGCAGGCGAGGTGACCTTACGCGGGACTCTGTTGACACGCGCTTGCTTGGCCGAATGTATTAAGNCCCCCCCCCCCCCCCCCCCCCCCCCCCTTAATCCGGCCCTGATTCCACGCGTTCACCACTCTATAAGTAAAGAAGTCCTGTCTCAACTTGAGCCGCACCTGCGGTTTACACAACTTGAGTTGATTACCTCTTGTTCTCTTGCTCCCATCGAACTGGAAGAACCTACCACGCTCTACATGATCTATTCCTTTAATTATTTTATTATTTTAGGGCAATCTCATCCAGGCTATTATCCTACTTTTCTTAACGGAATTATTCTTAACGAAATTTGCTCTAAAAAATTAGCACGGAAGGAACTAGGAACTAAGTAATGGGGCCCTAGAAGATTCTCTGAGGGCTGATTACATTGTTGTGCGATGGCTGTTATCTATTGTGCTCGTATTTACGAGAAGGTTGATTTGAAAAATCTGGAAAATTCGATCGAGTCAATGGAGAAAAGCCGCCATCATTACAACCAGTATGGCAGCACGCTTGCCTTTACTGCACTTACGACTGACTTATGATTTCTCTAGCTTCGTTTCTAAGCTCATAGATGCCTTTGGTTACTGTAACTCGGTCTACCTTATAGGTGAATCATTCGCGCCTTCCGCTGCTGGCTCTTAGTAGTGTTATGCTTACAGACTGGACTTAATACATTCGGCCAAGCAAGCGCGTGTCAACAGAGTCCCGCGTAAGGTCACCTCGCCTGCTTACGGTCAGCAGATGGCCTAACGCTAAGATTAGGCCTTAGCATCGTTTTACTCAGTTTTCGTATTTGAACAGTATAACAATAGGGGTGGGCGTTTTACACATTGTTCTCATCCACAATTGGAGGAGGGGGGGAATGTATCAAGTTTGCTCATCTTCACGACTTATCTTCTTACACACTGCGATCCCTTCCCTTTATATTTGTTACGTCGTCAAATTCAGTCACAACTACCCATTGCATGACACTTGGAACCGTATAAAAATACTTGTACTTGTATAGGTACTTGCAGGTAGATGTGCTACAAGATTTCTTTCCAACTGCCAAAAACTGCACATGTCCTAGAATATTTCCAGCAATCTTCAGCTTTGTTTCCACTTACATGTGGCATGGCATGGCTTTGCCCCGTGACAAAACTGCTTGCCTTAAATTACTGTGTATGTGTGTGTACTGTCAATATGGCATGGCAGGACAACACCACCACGAGATCAGTCACTGAGTGACTTTTACCATTAGTGTAGTGACCACTCTTGGCATCAACTGAAAAGGAACTCCAAAAGGTGTTTCTTTTCGTTTGAGGTGAAACAAGGATGCCTCAGTGCAATTTGTATAAAAATATACTGAAGATGGTTGCCACAGGATAATACTGGTCATCAAAATAGCATGTTGCAGCCAACACATGAAGTGTACTGTGAAGAATGGGGCATTTTGTTTAGGTATGCTGCATATCAAGAAAGATTGAGAAACCCTGATCTACAATTCATTTGGATCATAATCTGCCTGTCATTGATTCTGGTTCCATTTCCAAATTTATTTTGGAAATGGAACCAGAATCAATAACAGACTTCCTCAGTGAACCACCAACAAAATGGCACAAGAGATACATTGCATGAAAGTACCTTGTGAATAGATTGTAGTGATACAAAATTTAGCTGAGAGAGCTGAGGCATGAGTGTAGAATATTAATGTACAGGTAAAATGGTAAGGCTTTGTCTAGGCAACCTGGAACAGCCATGTCACATGCCCTACCCAGGTCCCAGCATCTGCTGGCATTAGTTGTTTTGACATTCAGTGGCACCTTAGCCTTTGCATACATTTAAGGCAGGGGTTCCCAAACCCTTGGTCGCAACCCATGTTTGGGTTGCGACCCAGGGTTTGGATGTTAAATTTTGAGTCATGACCAAAAAAGGTTTGGGAACCACTGATCTAAGGCATGCACACTCATCTGTATTTTCTAATGCCCTTTCTGCCTGCTCAACTTCCTCATTCCAATGAGGCCTGTTGTAGCACAGCTGGTGGAGTATTTTCCACTCTTTATGTGGCAAAGGCTAAGATTGAGAAATGAGAAAGCTAACCTCCTTTAGGGAATGATGAGTAAATTGGGTTAGAAAATAATCACAGACTCTGGCTATGACCTCATTCAAATCCCAACTGACCCATCTTCCCCCCAAGTAGGTTGCCTTTCTCACTCTTTCATTTCTAACATCCAACAAGTGTGGCTCATGTGAATGATTCATAATCTTTTCTTTGAGGTTAGTTAGGGTTTAGTGCAAACCCAAAAGAGCTGATTGAATTTTTAGTCTGAGTCTCAAGCCCCCAAGTGAAAGAAAATAAATATTTTTTGGTGGGAATAGAGGGGAGTGATGATGCATTCTGTTCCAAAAAATGGACACTTAGCTTCCATTCAACATGTCTTCCCCCCCATTTCCCATATTCTCCAAAAAGAATATTGGAGTACACTGTGCATGCCATTTCGTGTGTGCCTAGTATACAATCCTCTCATCTTGATTTTAAAATTAAAACCTGGTTTCTTAACAATCTTGCTGAAATCTCCAGCAATGTGATCTACTCAAGATCTAGTAATTGATTCATCTTGTGGGCCATTCTGGTGGCAGTCCACATCAGAAGTCTTTCCATTTTGATATTCATTCCTCTCTTAAGATCCAGAAATGCTAATTCTTCTGATGGTACTAACTGATCAGAAGAGTTTTTGGATGTGGAAAAGGGTATATCATGAACATTAGAAGACCTTTTGTGCATCTTTCTTTCCTGGAAGTGGGTACTGAATGTCATTCACAGGGTATAGAACAGGAACAGAGACTAAAGACTTAATGGAATTAAGTCTTTAGTCTCTGTTCTGTTAAGTCTTTAGTCTCTTTAGGGAATCTCAACCTTGGAATTGGACATTAAGACTAAAGTCTTAATGTCCAATTCCAAGGTTGAGATTCCCTTCTGTTGTTTGTTCTGACAATGCATTTCATTTCATTCCAACACCCATGTTCAGGAAGCTCACTATGCATGGGTGTCTGTGCAAATGAAAATATACAGGGGCCCTTTTGAGCCTGCTTCAAGAATTTCAATCTTGTTGCATCATTTTTGCTTTTACTGCATACTGCTGGGAAACATTCTCTCTTAGGCTTCCTTGTTTTTCCTTCTTGCATGCAGTTCAGGTGCCACTTACTAGTGGAATGAAAGTATCACACCTTTTATGATAGAAAATTAATATTACATGTGGCACAAGTGTTAATCACAAAATTTGGCTGGAGATGTCACTGCTAATTTCACAAAAGGAAATGATCTGGATGGATTCATGGGATCACATAGACATATAAAAGTGCAATGATCAGGACTTAATGTAGATATATAAAGTAATTTTAAAAAAATACCCATATGATCCATCCATGACTTTTCTGTTGTGGCAGATTCTGTGCAGTGTTCTGGCACCATTCTTGAAATATGGGAGTCTCTGCTAATTACAGGATAGCTTGTAAATCTCTGACTTTCTGTTTAGCATGGAAAATATGTTTGGAATCATTTACAGTAGTGTGATTGCTGTTTTGTTTGTTTTTTGCAGACGTGTTGAGTCTTGAGTCATGGCAGCTGAGTTGAGAGAAACTCCAGGTGTTTTTGAGAGGCGTTCCCTAACGAGGATGTCTGGTCGAAGACTGCTTCCTGATGTAAATTCTGATGTGAAATCAACTTCTGCAAAGATGGTGGAACAAAGGAAAAACTCTGCTGCTGTGGCACATTGTTACAGGCAATACTTTTGCCATTACTTTCTGCTTTCAGAGTACATGAAGTTACAGGAGCTAAAGATGCCTGGAATCTATGTGATCCCTTCAGAAAAGAACCGATACTTGTGGTGTGGGATCATATTTGTCAGGCAAGGGTATTATCAAGGTGGCATTTTCCGATTTGTTATCTCCATCCCAGAGAGTTTCCCCAACTGTGATACTCCCAAGATCATATTCCACCCTTCAGTATTCCACCCACAAGTGAATGCATCAACAGGTGAATTAGACACATGCCCTGTTTTCCCAAAGTGGAAGAACACTAATCATATTTATCATCTGCTCCTGTATATGAGAAGATGCTTCTACAGGATCAATGCATCAAATCCTGTGAATCAGGAAGCTGCCAATCTTTTCAATTTACAACTGGAGGACTTCAAAGTTTGTGTTGGTGAAACTGTGCAAAGAAGCCTCAATGGAGCCCTTTTGAGGCCCAAAGATGATGATGATGCACATTCCATAATATTTTCTGATTTGGATCCACACCTTCTTACACAAGTGCTTAATGCTGTTCGAAATCCAGTATATAGGGCCAATGGAATATCCTTCTTGCAGTCATCCTGTGGACCTTCAAGTACCACTTGAAATCTTTGCTTATTTTCTCGCCTCCATCTGCCTTTTAACTGCCATTCTATGTTTCCATCCACTCTATTGTGATTCTGAGTCACTCGAAGGACTTTGAGTTGGCATTAAGGAAACTATCAGTGCTTGATACCCCAATTATTACTCACCCTGCATCAACATAGCATGCTGCTAAATGATTAAATTTTTGTTTATAATAGTTGATGAGTGTGATGTTTCTTTGTTTCTTTCCATGGGCTATCCAGATTATAAGAATATGAAGGCTCAAGATGGATTGCTGGAATCCATTCTTGCCTGGGAGACAAGGGTGTAGAGTCACAAGTTCTCAAGCTTTTTAAGTATCTGTATGATCAATGGGAAGTTCACTTAGGTGGACAGCTACGAGTAGCAAGGGGTGATGGCTAGATATTATTTTTGTACTTGCATGATCCTTGCAGGTGAAAAACCTCTACATCTGTATCACTCAAATAAATAGAATGGCTAATGAAGAGCTTCTCCAGTGCTACAACAAAGGATGTGGGAAGAAATTCCAGAAGGAGGAGAATGATGAAAAATCTTGCATGTTTCATCCTGGTGATCCCTTCTTCCATGATGCATACAAAGGTTGGAGTTGCTGCAAGAAAAAGTGCATAGATTTCACAGAATTCCTGAACATCAAAGGATGTACAATATCATTTCACAATCCAGTAAAGCCCCCTGAGCCAGAGAAGCAAGTGGTTGACAAGTCCACCTCAAAAGAAGTCTTAGTGTATGAGTCTGATACAAAGTTAATAGCAAAACAAATGGAGAGGCCAAGGGAAGATTCTCCCATGGAAAACCTGAAGGTGTGTGTCTTGGAAAGCTTGACAAAAGCATTGAAAAACATGGCTGTTTCCATTGAGAATGAGAAAGTTGGGGATTTTCTAACGCCTGATACAGTGTGCAAGAATTCTGGCTGCAAAACCACATATGGCTCTGGAGTTGGTACTGTCTGCTGCTTCCACCCAGGAGTTCCTATCTTTCATGAAGGAATGAAATACTGGTCCTGTTGTCAGAAAAAAACCACAGACTTCACAAATTTTCTTGAACAGCAGGGTTGCAAGGAAGGTGAGCATTGCTGGATGAAGCAAGATTCCTCCAAGCAGGTGCAAGCCCCACCCCGCTATGACTGGCACCAAACAGGCACACTAGTTGTGGTTTCAGTTTATGCCAAGAATCCTGATCCAGAGAAAAGTATTTTCAAAGCAAGTCCCGTCAAGCTGGAAGTGCAATTAACCTATTCTGGAGGCAAAGTCTTCAACTTGGATCTCATTTTGCAGGGAGTCATAGATACGCAAGGAAGTATTGTCACACTTTCTCCTAGCAAAGTGGAAGTGAAAATGAAGAAGGCTCAGATAATGACATGGGCAAATCTGGGAGTCCCCAAGCAGATCCATAACCAAGTGGTGGAGGCAGCTCAGAAAGACCTTGCTCTGAGGGATCCAGAATTGGAGCCTGTGGACCTGAGTGACTTGTGATAGTTGGTGAATAAGTGATCATCATTACCACCATATTTTCTGTTCTAAAAAGTAACCATTTTAAAGCATTCACTTTGAAATGGTTTCTTTTCCCTATCCATATCCCATGGAGCTATTCCAAGTGGTTGAGAATAAAACTTCAAATGCCATGATAGCTGCTATCTTCATATGTATACAAAATTCATTAATTCCTAATGCCTGCTTCCATTGTTTGTGCCTTACCATGGATTTTGAATTTTTAAGGAAAGTCCTGGATTTCTCCCAATCTGAAACTCAGCAAAGAAATCATGACCTCAGAATGACAAGGTTGTATCTGGTGTTATGTTTCAGTTTCTTGTGCACCAAGATTCTGTCACCATGTGGTCATGCAAAACAAGAATTGCACAAGAGTGATGAACTAAATTGATGAGTGTTCATAGCATTAAAAAAAAGAAAAATGACAAGGTTTTGTTGGTCAACCAATCATGTACCAGCTTAAACTCCATCCTTCCAGCAGGAGAACATTCTAGTCCCCCCTGCCAAGCAAACATCCTTCCAAAAAACTCAGCATACTGAATAAAACAAAATTATGACTCCTTTTTATTCCAAAAAGCCTATTCTGTGCCTGATTAAAAGGCTTACTATGTTGTTAATGTGTCTTCAAGAAGGCATTAAGACAATCTCAGTTAACAATATGCCTTAATCAAATGTGAATAGCTAACAAAATGATAACATCCTAGATATATTGAAAGTATTTGATGAGTTTACTGGGTTCCATGGATATGCATTTATGAAAGTAAGTGCTTGGAACCCTGTATCCAAGAAACAACAAGGTAATCCGCTTGAGATGTCACTAATACAACTCATAAAAACTATATTTGAACCAAAAATTGTTGAAGTGGGTAGAGTAAGTGTAATCAATTATATTTGATAGTGGCATACCTTGAAGTGTATATAGTCGAGTCACTGGGAATATGGGCAGTAGAAGTAAAAGAAGTGTCATTTAGGGTCTCCCCGGTCTTCGTCGGCGGATTACCGTCAAAGACATGACGTTCTGATACAGATGCTCTTCCCTTCAAAGGTTCTCGCTGTCTTTATGATCTCCTCATACAAGCAATTTCATCATTTGGCGTCCTTGTGTTGTTCCAGAGAGGCCAACTACTCCTGCTCACATTTTACATTCCTGCTGTTCTGGTAAATAAAAACTGCCTGAGGCAACCCTGTTTTTCCAAGTTGGAGATTAGCTGACATTTTATTACCTCTAATGGAGTGACCTGTCAAACTTGCCATATTCCCAGTGACTAGACTATGTGGCATGCAGCATGGTTACAGTAACGGAATTAGCCTCCAACACACATCTAGACAATTGCATGAAGCAAGTAGAAGCAAGGCCGAATTTAGAGGGGGGGTTCATGGGGTTCAAACCCCCCCTCGAAATATCTTCCTTAAATTTTTGCCATACTGCTATTCGTTGGTGTAAACTGTGCAGTACTTTGTCTTTTCTATCTTTAATAGCTTATGACTTATTAAACGTTGCAACTTAGGAAAATCCAGATATGTCACAAAGATTTACAATGACAAGTATAAAAAAAATAGCTACAGCGTGTACGCCAGACCTCAACTCCCCCCCGAAATGAAATCCTAGATACGGCCCTGGCATGAAGCAATGGATGTTGTTTGATGTGCTGTGTCTTATAGAAGAAGTCACAGATTTCTGAAGCTATGATGAAAAATCCAGCAGGTGCAGGTTGCAAATTTCCTTGATTTTTTGCTGGATTTTTTTTTTCAGGTGGATTGAACTAGACATTTTCTTGATAAACCACCAAATATCCAGCTGGAAGCAGGTGAACTGTAGCAGGAAAACGGTCCCAAGTAGCAATTTTCAACTAAAATAAGTCCATTGGACAGACACTCAAGGATACTTGGGCTTCCACTAAGAATGATTTACGCTTGCAGAGAAAAAACATGACAGCTACTACAACTACAACAACTGCAGCCCTAATCTCCATAATTTGATCGCATTGCAGATTCAAGTCACTGGGAGATCGTATCCACACATTTTGGACATGCAGTGGATGACTACGCAAGTAGCAATGGGTGATGCAAAACTCGTCCATGGACAGTCCAGTTGTTCAGAGATGGATACAGTCCAGAAGCGGTCATCCTTTGAATGTACATAGGAGATCATCGCCATGGATCGATATCTTCTCATGCATTCTGAGCTTTATCCGAGCATAATTTTCCTTCATCGAACACTCAATTATTTCCATTTTATTGAACGACGGTTTTAACCCTTATCCGGGCAAGGGGAGTCCATTGGACTACCCAGGGTATATTTCATTTCATTACTCTCTGCAAATTTTTCAAAATAATCTTCAAATTTGATATGGGTTTCATAGACAGTCATCCATAGATTCAGAAACGAACTTTTAAAGTTTGGATTTGCTTTTAAGGAAAAAAATTCTAAAAATGTTTGGCCTTGCCCATTTGTGTCACAAAAATACCTTGCTCGGATAAGGGTTAAGGAATGGCGTTACGAGCATCCGATCATGGGATTTCTGGAGTTCTTTTTTTTCTTCAAATCTCTCATCTTACGTCGAAACCCAGTAACTTCTATCATTATGTCGATAATGTGACATTATTATTGGATCACTGCATGATTTCATTTAGAGCTCGACATTGCAAACGAAACGATGCGAAGTGAGATAGCAGAAGATTGCCCCTAGACTCACCTATAACAAGGTGAATCCTACTCGTGAAACCGTCATGTAATAAAATTGAGATAATTGAGTGTAAAGTTTGGGAAATCCTGCACAGATAAAGCTCAGAACCATTGAGAATATATTGATCCATGGCGATGACATCCTGTGAACATTCAAAGAATGACTGCTTCTGGACTTTTATCCATCTCTGGGCAACTGGACTGTCCATGCAGGGCCGTTTCTAGGGGCGGGCGAAGCGGGCGATCGCCCGGGGCGCCAGCGGGGTAAAGGGGGAGGGGGGGGCGCCAGCGGGGGAAAGAAGATCGCCCGGGGCGCCAGCGGGGTAAAGGGGGAGGGGGGGGCGCCAGCGGGGTAAAGAGGGAGGGGGGGGGGGGGGCGCCATTGGAACTGCTTGCCCTGGGCGCCAACATCCCCAGAAACGGCCCTGTGTCCATGGATGAGTTTTGGTATTCCCAAAGTAGCCATGGATGATCTAAATCTCGTCCACGGACAGTCCAGTGGTCCACAGATAGTTCATAGGCAGGGACGTCATTTCGGGGGGCAACTGCCACCCCTTGTGTCTTGGAGTGATTTTCAAATAGTCTCCTTTATTCCCTGTAATGTAATAGCCAGAAAGTCTGCCTTTGGAGCCCTCATGCGGCATAATTTTCATGGCTCCTGCTTTTTTTGTGTTAACCCCTTAACTGGGGAAGACGTCTTTAGACGTTCGCAAATACTGCATACGGGTGGGATGGACGTCTTTAGACGTTTCCGCAAGTAGGTTCCGTATTTCTGGGAATTCGCTTGGGGTGTCTTGGGTGCATCCTGCGCCCTTCTGACAGGATGTGGCTACTCGTCTTCAGCCTTTCTATGTAGCTGTCAAATATCAGGATGTATTTTCTACCTGATTTGTCATCTGTTTAACTGCAATATCATCACGTGGGAGGAGTACTCGAAGGCGAGTATCATGGAGACAGTATCTATCTTTACTATTAAATTTATATATCAGAATGTTTGTGTGTGTCTGTCTGCCCTTTATGCACGGCCACGCCTCTGATCCTTGTCCGACCAAACTTTGCATGGCTTCTTCATTTGGTCCGGGGATGGTCACGGGCTAGGAAGCGTTTCAAAATTCGGATCCCACGGGGTATCCCTTAGCTTAGGGTACCTTAGGCAAACAAACTCGCTAATAAATTTCTTTAATGTCTTTAATGTCTAAATTTGCTTTTGAGTGTCGAGAGTGAAGATTCAATTGAAGAAGAATATGAAGAAGCATCAGATGATGAAAGCGAAGACGTAGAGATTCACAGAGGTGGTGATTGTGATGTACTTGGTCCACGTGGCCGAGGAACGCCCGCCCTTTAAATCTTTGGTTCAGAACGGATTCCTGATAGATTTTGGTGACAGAAAAATACTCTATTGATGTCTTTGAGGCTCTCATTGATGGGCTTGCTGTCGATATTGCAGAGCAAACCTATCTCTACGACAAACAGCGCATAAGAGGATATGCTACTTGTGGTGGACAGCGACCTCGCAGATGGGACAAGGACTAGGCGGGCACTAATGGATAGGAGAGAAAACCTATGAATGGTCTACTAATTTTTCAGGGAATTGTGCAGAAGTCTATGAATGGTATGCACTTCAGCAAGAATAGAATCGTGGAGACGTCCATCTTTGAAGAAGTCTTGTCAGAGAAGCGATTTCAAGGCGAAAGCGGAGACCTCTCTTTCCTTTTCTTCAATAACAATAATTTTGATTCGGAAACTGATCCCAATCCAAGGCTGTCCAAGATTTTCCCTATCCTGGATTAGTTGTAAAGCTGTTCCAGGATATACAGTATACCTCCCAAACCGTTGAATTGTCCTGATGAATCCCTATTCTCGTGGAAGGACCGAAACGGGTAGGAAAGTTTACGTCCCCAAGGAGAGGGTCCGCTTTGGTATGGAGCCATACCAGATCAGCGAATCTGCCAATAGGTATTAGTCGAATATCCTCCTATATATCCGGCCAAAATGAGCCTAGCCGATAAAGCTCACGATGCATCAGACACCCATCCACACTCCCAGTAAATATGGTTCCATAATTTCTACCTGTTGTAGAATTATCGAAAAGTAGAGCTCTCTCGTCGGCCTGTGCTGACGGCGAAAAAACTTCCCATTTCGTTGCGTTAACCCAGTTAAGGGGTTACTGACAAATTCGCAAAAGATTGGAAGCTGATATCCGCTTTGGCGGTAAATCCCATCAATTTCATGGGCGTTAAAACGGTTTGCCCGAACCAGAGAACTTCTGTGAATCTACTTTACGCCTCTTAAACTTTCATTAGAGAGATTTTCTGCTGCCCAGTGCAACCATGGGTGTAGTTTCATCTAAGTAACCCTTTACTGCATAGTGTGCCAGATATGGAACACACCAAAATATAAAATAAATAAAAAAATTGCTTAAGACTCACTCTGGCAAATAGGGCATTTCGGAAACATCCTTGATTTTCCCGATTGGGAAGAACACCAATACCTTTTAAATGTATATATCTTACTAACTGACAGCATATTGAAGACACCAGGTCAGTACCATAGCGAGTTAATAAGACCTTTTGCCTCATTACACCATAACCTTTATTTTTTCGTTATTGTATTTCATGTCTAAAAAAAAACGTTGTCATGCATTAGTTCTCATATATTCTTCTCGCGTCCTTGTCTAAGGTTTTACCTGTTGCAGTTTTTCTTCTTGGCTAATTTCCTCCATTTTGACAAAAACCCAAAATTGCCCTAAAATGACCGTAATGGGGTAGTTTGATGCAAAATATCTTACTTTCGTTCCTTTAACCACTTCAGAGCCTGTGGCATGTACACATGCCAAACAATAACATGTTGAAACCTCTGCTGAAATCGCTTCTTTGTCATGGATCACACAGTAAGCCATAGAAGGATTAAAGAGAGTTCCCGAAAAAAAAAGCATGCGCCTCATTGGACTCAGTCTGCATCACAGCAGGGACTTGTGAACTTAGCGCTTCTTTGAATATGGCCGCCCGCGTCGTCTGCGATCATAAAAGCTATTTTCGATTGCTCATTATTGCCTCTAAAACTATCATGCATGTTGAATTGCAGTGCCAAATAGTGTGGGAAACTATTTATACATAAAGGAATATCTGACTAATCATAGAGCTCTTATGGAATGGGTCAAAACTTAGATGGCATGTACACATGCCACGAGGCATAGCGCCAGTAAATTTGCGTTTCCATGTCCAATTACACGGAACTCCTTAATCAGCTCCGAGAGAGTGATATGGATCTACTGAGGACGAATATGATTTGTTCGGGTCCTCCCAGTACCAGGCTGACGAAAACGAAGAGGAAGACCAAGACATATGGACACTGTAGATCTAAGGGGGGAGATCTAAGGGGGGAGCGCCCCCCCCCCCCCCATCCCATGATTGTTTCAAGTTTTCATTCTTAGGCAGTCTCCTCCAGCTTCTCTCAGCATTCCCCCCCTCTCGCTCGCCCCAGTCTCTCCTGGGATACCGTCCCCTCTTCCCGAAAATGTTCTGAATCCGCCGTTGGACATGGGTGAGCCACGCGATAGGAAAATGCCTCCAGCCTCGTTACCGCCAAAGGAAGCCATTTCTTGTGGTGCTGTTCACATACTGAGTATTTGGAAAAGTGAGAACCACAGTATGGAGGACCCAGTATTTGGGGATTACTGACCTCTCCCTCACTGTCACGGGGTGGGGTCAAAGGAGGGTGTGGGGTACAGCGGTACTTCGGTATCATCGAGTACCACCCAACCCAAGTTGCTGCTCTTGTCGGCGCAATGCCTGTGACAGGGCCGAGAAAAATTGTCGAATAAGATCCTCGATTGCTGGCTTCCATTAAGTTTCTTTTACTTTCACAAAATGCATGTTGCCAACCGCGCATCACTAAGGAAGAAAACCTGGTGGCATTACATTCCTCCAATACCAAGGAAGATAATAAATATCGGCCCCCTTGCTTTGCCCGTCGGAGGTGGAGCTTAGACGATGAGCCTAAGGATTTCAAAATTGGTATGTAACTGCCGTTGGGTCTGAAGAGGTTAAGGAAATGTATGCGAAATTTTTTTTTTCTCCAAGGCTTTCATATATCATGCAGTAAAGGGTTAAATACCATTCATCTTGCAGCCAACTTTGCATGACAACGCAGGAAGGATTTCTGCCGCCGATTTAATTTCGCAATTTTAATTTTTAAATTATAATTTCTCTAAATATGAATTTCACCAACTGGACCACCCCCTATGTTTTGGCCACTAGTCCATACAGGGAAAAAAATTCCCAAGCGACTCAATTTCGCGATTGACTTTGCCTCGTAAAATTCGCGAAATTGAAGCAGGCGATAACATTTCTCCCTGAACTGTTTTTTTTTTGTTCAAGTTGCATAACTTCTTTGCCCCCCTTGCAGTTTTACCAAATGACGTCCCTGTTCATAGGATGTCACCACCATGGATCGATATATTGTCGTTGGTTTTAAGCTTTATCTGGCAGGAGTTCTCCACATTTTATCCTCAACCATTTCAATTTTATTGAATGACAATTTTATGGAATGGCGACATGAGCATGTGATTTCCGAAGTTTCTTTTTTCTCTTCTTCAAATCTCTCATCTTAGATTGAAAATCTCGTAACTTCAATCGTTATATCAATAATGTGGCATTAACATTGGACCAGTGCATGATTTCATTAATAGTAGTGGAAATTTGAACGAAAGGATGGGTTAGTTCGTCTTTGGACGTCCAGTGGACAACTTCTTTCGGTCAACCATAGGTTACCCTTGTATGGACGAGATTGAAATGGACTTCCATCTGGCATGACATCTTGCAGTTCATTCAATAAAAATACATTTCTCACAATATATCCGGGATCGCGCTGAACTCGCCGATGTACGCGTCTCGATTCCCAATATGCTAATGGATGATTCTGCAGAAGCTTTCATTCTGTTCTCGATATTTTCCCACGTACAAGCAGGAGGAAAAAAGTCCTAGTACTTTATAATTTGTTGAGACGTAACTGAGCTCAAGGAGACTCCAGGTAATTCTTGCATAATGCATGGATAGAGTAGGGTTGGGAATTTCCAATGGATCTGAAAATACGGACACCCAATATGCATCCAAAGGACATGTCCGCGGATAATCCGTGGATGTCCAAGTGTCCTCGAGTAGAAGTCTAATGGATTTCTTATGGCTTAAAATAGCTACTTGGGTACCTCAGATTGGATTCTCAAGTTCTCAACAGTACATAATGAGACATAAAATACTGCATATTTTCAAGCAATTCAGGTTCCTAGTGGATTATGACTGGATTGGAGCTAGAAATCTAGGTTTACAATGGGAATCCTGTGTCATGTTGATTCGTTGCAGCATGTTTCGTGGTCGACAAGTCGTAGAATCCCTGATCTGTCTCAGGCCTCATTCGTCGATTGCTAACTGGTCCCGTGGCGAACTCGTCGCCTGAGAAAATAGTCGTATCGCCCCTGGGATTTAAGATTTGGAAGTACAGGTCGACTCTCGTTACCCTGCTGAAAAAACCTCACTATAAACTCATGAGGTCAAAGTCGTGAGGTCTCACGAGACCTCACGAGGTTGTCCGAATATCTCATGAGGAAATTTTCATGAGGTACTTAACGAGGTCTCACGACCTTCTCATGAGGATTGTGTGGTTCAACATGAGGCTTTGAAACGTCCTCATGAGACCTCTTGTTCGAACACCTCATGAGGATCTCATGAGGTTTTTTCTGCAGTGCACAACGGACGCGACATGGCGACTAAAGATCCGCTCTGATGAGATGATAGCCCTAATCTCACTGGAACATCTCTCCTGTACTCATCGAGTTGTATGCAGTTTTATTTCTTCATTGAACATAATGAAAGATATTTGATTTTTTAAAAACACTTGTCCGAAGATAGTCCAGTTTAGGGAGACCAGATAATTCTGGCCTACAGGATGGAACGACGTATTGCGGATGGAATAAATGACAGTTGTGTAACCGTGCATGTTCCTTCGTATATGATTACTTCTCCTTTAAGGACTCGCGGGACCTTTCAAGCTGAGCCCCCAGAGACCTTTCGTGGCTATTGGGCCACGAGGCAAGTGTCGCCTCTATGTTAAAACCCCATGAAGTCAACCTCATGAAATATCTGTTCCAAACCTCATGAGGTCATTCTCATGAGACCTCTGTCCGAAAACCTCATGAGGTTTCCTATTGAGATTCTCATGAGGTTTTTTCAGCAGGGTAGTACAAGATGGTGTAACGCAGCAAGCGTTACACCATCTTGGACCTTTTTGGAACAAGCTGGCAGAAAACTTGACCTTGAGAAATGTAGCGATTCTCAAAGGTAAGTGTTCTGCCGGTTTTGAAGTGTTGATTCAATCCGGTATAGGCCACACGAGCTCATCCGAGTCGCCGCGCGACTTCCTGTTGCGTTACACCCTCCTGGAGCATTTTCATCGCCCCGTCCCTTTGTTGCTGCGTTAGCCTTGGCATATCTCTGATGTTTTTCGGCGACGGGACGACATGCACAATGAAATCGGCCCATTTTTGTCTATGGAAATTTGAACTTTACATATGGCATGGAGAAAACCTAATTAGGCATTTTCCTGATGTGGCACGGGCACAGCGCTCAAAGGTTGGTGAGTAAACGCTAATAATATTCAAGCAGTGCTGGCTTGTTCAGCAAAAGACAGATATAATGCTATCACAACTCCTACAACGCGGGCGAACTCTAAATTACCTCGTAACGTTTCTCTTGTACGCCAGTATAGGTAGTGCACCATACTATCTTAGATTTCGCAATGAAATGCCTCAGTAATTTAAATACCCGTCTAAAAAAATTCTGCCTTCTCAGATTTGCAGTTACTGAATGCTGTCCCCTTGAACTAAGGGGGAGAATGGAAAGCCCTATGGAGAGAAAAATGATCATCTCAGGAACTGTTCATCACACTGAGGCATGTGATAGCTTGAACTGGAGCTTTTCAGCTCTTACATTCACAAAAATCCCTTGCTGCATGTGTTTTTAATTTCAGAATTAAAAACACATGCCATCTGTTGGCAGCGAGAAACAACTACTAGCAGTGGTGATACAAGGTGATTCTGAAAATAAACCATCATGCTGCCTCAAAACATCACAAACAGGTGGTACATTAATTGTACCACCATGCTTCAATACATTAAAAGATCACAGTACAATGTCTGTACCACCGACCATGAAAGAGTTAAACAGGTGGAAAACAATCCATACGCTATCGCTGTTTGAATTAAATCCATAAATTAAATCATCCTTGCTGAATTAAGAAAAAAAAGTTACATTTATGTACTCTCTCGCCTCTTCCCTCCCATTAGCAGCAGGTCCCTTTCTGGCTCATTCAACCTCCTTAATACAGAGTCCACCCTTCCTAAAATCCTGCATACATTTGATAATGTACTTCCATTATAGATCTCATATCTTTCTCCATCTCCTTACTGCTTGCTGCGGAAAAACATCACCTGTCTGGATGATGCAATTTAAGACAATACACATGGTGCAATATTAAGTCATGGATTAAAAGCCAGGATGACTATGTTCACTGAATTTCTTTATTCCATGATTTGGCCCACAAATTATCATGTACTTGCCAACAGTCTTGACTATGTCTTTTTCAGAAAAAGGATGAGATCAAGACTCAGTGCAACAGAAAAATTGACATTATGAGCCAACCAACTCTCAATTTACAAAAAAAAAGCAAACAAACCAACTCGTTTTGTTAAAAGGAGAGCTGACAGCTTTGCCTGATGAAGAATAAGGCCTAATGTATTCAAACAAGAGGCAAGTGGTGTCCTTACAATAGCAAAATACATTCAATGCAAGGCAACAATAAACTTTGGTATAGTTTTCTTGCACTGGTATGCCACTGAGTGGTTCAAGTCCATTCCTCCAGAGGAAACAATTGAGCTGTTTGAAGAATTTCTGCAGATGCTGATTTCAGAAATACAGCTGAGAATAACAACTTGAAACATAATGAATGAGCTGCAGGACTGGAATGAATTGATCAGGCACTAATGCCTGCATCTTTTGTCAATGAAGCAAACACTGATTCCGGCTGCTGCAGCAATACATTTGGTGCATCAAATTCTTTGATCTCTCCATTGTCCAGGACCATTACCCTGCACAATGAAAAAGCCATTCATAAAAGATACTTCCATCCATATTCATTTTAACTAGGGCTGTCAATTCGATTAATTTAATCAATTGATTAGTCGATTAAAGTATTTATAGCAATTTAAAAATTTAGTCGAAAGTGATTGAACTTTAATCGACCTCCTAATCTCCCCCTGAATGCATATTTTCCCCTTTATAATTTTATCATAATGTAATATTTTAATCGATTGATTAAATTAATCGAATTTACAGCCCTAATTTTAACATGATTGCAACATATGGGCTCACTTGTCATAATCCATAATGGTATTGATGCGATGGGCGATAGTGAGGACTGTGCAAGTGGAGAATTCAGTTCTGATTGTTTTCTGCAAAGGACATACAGAGCACATCATACAGAGCACACATGAAAGCAAGAAACTCAAGGCTCAGTTCAATATGAAATTTGCTGAGTAAATGAAAATTACTTAGACAATTACCTGGATGAGTTCATCTGTTTCAAGATCCACAGCAGCAGTGGCTTCATCAAGAACAAGGACTTTGGTCTTTCTTAAGAGTGCTCTTGCCAAGCAAATCAGCTGGCGCTGTCCAACACTAAAGAAACAAGGATGCATCCAGATTGCTTTCCATGCACTCACACAACACTTACCCTTATCATGAGGAATGCATTAGCCCTTGAATTGTCCAATACATGAGTAAATAATAATGCAAGCAGTCTAATACATCATTTGAAAGATGATAAATAATAACAGGTGAAACACAGATAGCTACCCCCTCTGTGGCCCAAACAAAAACAAATAGGCAGTAATAGGGTTTCTCATTGAAATCTTCATTTTTGGTACTGAAAAGTCAACTTAATTATCTGCATGACCTCCACCAGCTCTGCCAACAGCTTTTGAACAACTGGGGCATGAGAAAAGCAATTTTTGAAAGAGTTCAGTCACTTTCAGCTCTTCAAGCACTCCTGTGGTTTGCTGGAGAAAAAATTATTGCATGTGGCTGTCCTCACAATGAAACCTGCTTTCCATTCTATCCTTGATGATTACACCAAGGTTTCCAGTGGTATACAAATCCAGTGAATTCTCATGCCATTCCCTGTTGTCAAATAAGTTAATCCCTGAGGAGCTCTTGGGTTGCACTCCCTAAAGCACCATGGGTCTTTGGTCTCATGCATCTCCCCTAGGCATGGGGCTTTGTCATGCAAAAACATAACATCTAGCACATGTTCTCTGCATTGGTGAGGAATGGAATGATGTATCCTTGAAGAATCCTCTTTCAAAAGTATGGACTGTCCCAAGATTGGCCCTGTTCTTTGATGACCCAGATCACTTTCTTGAAGCAAACAGGTCAGTGTATAAGGATGCTGAGGCACTTGCTCAACTTATTTAATTTCATAAATGTTACATGGCCAAATGCAATTGTGATTATTAGGCTTAAGAAAGGAATAAATTAAAAACTTGTCTTATAGAGCCAAATTAATAAAAATTATCCTCATAACATTTTTGGAGGAAACTGTGGAATCAAAGACGACTTTCAATATATGTTTGTTCTTTCAAGGGCTTTCTGAGGACATGAAACAAAGAGTAACAAGACTTCTTGATGTCAGTTGACAGTCATATGGCTATGAGCCTTGTTGTGCTCCTCCTGAAAGAGGAGTGCAACAATAAAATTGTCTCTTCTGCCAGTTATCTCATGGGGCTATTCCATGACACATCAATCAATGAGTAATACCCAGCCATCTCCAATTTTGAAGAAATTTAGTATACTTGCCTGCACCCAAACTTGAAATGTCAAATTTCAGCCTCATTGTATCTTTGGGTCAAATGCTACAAGTTGGTCAAAATTTAGGATCACTTACTAACCCCTGATTTTCATATCTCTGTAACTCAAAAGCTATTCATGGTAGAGCCTTGATTACAGTGTCAATTCACTGAAAATTATGCAAGGAATTAAAAATTAAGAGAAAAATATCATTTGAGCCAAAAATAGACTGCTATTTATTGACAAAATTTGGACTTTTGAACTTACAGTGAAAAGCCAAAAATTAAAATCATAAAAGAATTTCATGTAGAGGTCAATGTCTCTTCTACTGATATACTAAATTAAAAATAAGTATCTTATCAGACCTCCCTGATGGCCTTGCCTAACCTATCCACACTCCCTGTCACAATGTATCCCATTTTCTCAGGCCTTGGGAATATGATGGCAACTTTGATGGACACTCAAGCCCTAAGTCTTTCGTGACCCCATCAGGCCAACAGAGCCAATGTGGTGGGTGCTATTGAGGAGTACCAAATCCCAACCTCTCATACTAGAGCACAGAGTGCTCTACAGTGCTCTTAAGCTTAAAGGAGACCAGGTAGTACCCAAAAGCAGCCAAGTGAACTGTCAGTCCAGGAGAATACTGCCTGCCATTGGCTGGATTTAAACTTGGACCTCCCACAAGGTAGCCTGAGATGATACTAACCACTGATTCATGGAGATGTGGTGAGTGTAAATCTACAGGGTATGGCACAAAAAAAATCACCAACGACTTTCAGCCTAAATATCTTCGCTCACAAGAGAGGTATTTCTGTGAAATGTTCACTTTGCATATGAGTGCATTTTCAACTGACGCATAAAATTTTGCCAAATTTGTTGTGCCAGAGCAATACTATCAGCAATTATTGAAAACAAGTTAGACATTGAGAATGGAGAAGAGCTCCTGTTGGCAGTGGAATGGAGGAAACACTCCTGCACTGTCATTCCTGGTCATCCAAACCACGTTGAGTTCCTCTTCCATTTAAATTCATGTATTGGGTTGGTTGCCTCCTGCAGATGGTTTTTATGAGCTTATTCTCAATGTATAGCAGAAGAATCAATGAATATCATAAAAAGAGTTTTCTCAAAGTTTGTTCGGAATTTCCCTTCAGATTTTTTGTTAAGGAACTGTCCATTTGAAATGTCCGACTTGTCATAGAATATTGCTAGTAAATTTGATCTGAATTAATGGATGTTTGCAGTCTTTTTGACTTTCAAATAAGTGAAAACATGCAACATCCTCAGAAAATTTGGTGAGCTATGACTTGAGCAATCATGTGATAAGCTGAAATTTTTTGGTCTGTTTGGTCATACTCTGCAGACTCAGGCTGATGTAAAACAAGGGAAATTCTAAAAGAATGTTGAGAAAATTCTCTGGATTGATATTAATTTATTCATCTGCTGTACATTGGGAATAAGCTCATGAAAACCATCTGCAAGTGACAATCAAGCCCTATACGTGAATTTAAATGGAAGCGGTGCTCAATGCGGTCGGGATGTCCAGGAGGGACAACACAGGAGTGTTTCCTAATTCCTCTACCAGCAGGAGCTCTTGTCCATTCTCAAGGTCTAACTTATTTTCAATAATAGCTGATAGCATTGCTTTGGCACAAATTTGGGTGAAATTTTGCAAATCAGTTGAAAACATACTCATATATGCAATGTGGAAGTTTTGCAAGAATAATTCTGCTGTGAGTGACGATATTTAGGTCAAAAGTTGTTGCACAGTTTTACTCAAGGTGAGTTTTTATCAACTCCTGGCAGTATTAAGGTTAAGAAAGGGCACAAGACTGCTTGTCAAGGATTTAATTAAGTAACTTCTTTAAATGTATGACTAAGCATGGCATGCTAAGACCCAGTCACTTCACTTAGCTGATTTCTGGAAAAATTCTACCATTGAGGCACATCCCTTTTGAGCTCAATTATTTGAAAACTTTCTAAAATCTATCAAGTTTTACCACTTCAATCAAAAGCAGCAAGCACTGAATATGCAAGTTTATGATGCATTCATAGCTGTTAGATTCACTTCCATTGTTGAGTGCTGAAGGTGTGAGTGTTGCTAGTAAGTAGTAATATATAAATATGCTATTGACATACATAAAATGTACAGTCCAAATATTAATTACTTCACCATGTCTGTGAAATTGCTCAGGAAGAATTGAAATGTAATGGTAATGGTCCTCAATTTCATACCCATTTGGGGATCATGTGACAAAAAAAATTCTGGGCACTAATTTGCTGATGACCCCATGTGCAAACAGAACCTGTTCCTGTCATGTCTCTTTCATTTTCAGTCATAAGAGGAAGCATTTTCCTGACATATTAACTTCTGCCACCCTGTGGGAAAAGCTTCTTTTTAAGTCTTCCATTAGCATAGCTGCACTGTAGGTTGAAATCCTCTTGTGAAAAATTGCAATGAACTCAAATCAAGGAAAATCAAACTGTAGTCACAGATTAAAGGTTTCCAGCACCTTCAGGAGATGAAAGGATTCTGATGCTATACAGAAGAGGGAGAAACATAAATGATTCCCATAACATGAGGAAAGAGAATGATGAAGGGAAGTAAATGTGGGTCTTAAAGCACCTGGATAAGAATGTTTCCTCTGATGCTATTTGACTCTCTTCATGGTGAGTTACTTCGGAGGCAATCCATCAATCTTTAGCAAGAGACTATACATTATTTTAAAAAAGTTGCACTATGACTCAGCTTCCAGTGGCCTTTCTACCAGTACATGTTATTAGAGTGAGGTTTTAACTTTTAGAACCACACCTTTCTTTCAAAAAGCTAATGAAGCAAAAGTTCTATCTTAGTCCAAGTGAGGAGAATAACAATGATGCACTAACCTTAGGTTTTCTCCCCCTTCAGAAACAGGATGTTGCAATCCCTGTGAGAGTCCTTTGACAAAGGACTTCAGGTGAGACAATTCAAGAGCCTTCCATACTTCTTCATCTGTGTGCTTCTCAAATGGATCCAGGTTCATGCGCAGGCTCCCTGAGAATAATACTGGATCCTACGTAAAGGTAAAATAAGAATTATTAGCCACTTTCATGAAAAAGTAATTTATGGTTGGATATGCATGAAGTGCTCTTGTTCACTTGTGGGATTATGGTGAGTTGAGAGCGGAGATCATGAAGACCAATCTCACTAATGTCAACATCATCAATTATGATCCTTCCACCAGCTCCCTCAATAATACGGAATAATCCCAACATGAGGGAAGACTTTCCAGCACCAGTTCGACCCACAATGCCAACCTAACAGGAGAAAGTATCATTGTACAGGATGGTGCACATATTTAATCATGATAGCAGCATGAAAGAAATCTCTGAAACACTATTACCTTCTCTCCTCCTTTGATATCCAAGGATATACCCTTGAGAACAAGTTCCAAACCTTCCCGATATCGAGTCTGGTAATCCTTGAAAGTAATGTTTCCTTCTGTTGGCCAATCCTTTTTTGGTTTTTTCTCACTGATTTCCCAAGGTGCCTCAACAGGTGTTTCACAGTATTCCTTTATTCTCTCCACTGCCACTATGTTTGTTTCCACATCAGATGTCATGCGGACCAGCCAATTTAAAGTTTGCGTCACCTATGCAAACCAAATCACAGACAAAAATGGAGTAAAAAATCTAATAGTAAGTTTGTCTAATTACCAGTATTTCAGCCAGACAGGCTGAAAAAAATGTGAAAAAGTCAGGATATTATATTGGTATTTGACTGGAGAGTCATTGGGTAGACTCACAGACATAGCATAGCTGACTGAAAGGCCAACCACTCCAGCACTAAGAGTATCCCTCCCAAGAACAGCAAAAAGGGATGCAAAGAAGACCATGAGAGTTCCAACAAACTCCAATCGTATTGCCAACCATCTGAAAAGAAATGCACAATAAAGAGGATTTGGAAACAGTTTCCTGTAAGACTATTCCAGGGTCTCAGTTAAATCTGTAGTTCATACATACCTGTTGGCAATAACACTTGGATAGAAGCAGATTTGATTCTCGTCCACTTTTTGTTCTGATTCAAGGATGAATTGTTTTTCTCTGTCATAGGCCCTGATTGTTGAAGCACCAGTGATAGTCTCACCAAAGTGAGAATATATGGGTGAGCGACTCACTGACTCCAATCGTTTCAATTGCCTTGAAGTGGCAACATATACATGCTAAAGGAAATAAATTTCAGCAGTTATGCAGTTGGGCCTGGCAGCATACAAAAACACTAGAACACTGGGGAACATTTAGAATAAACATAAAGCCTATGTAATTTTTTTAACTTTTCTTTACATAACCCTGCGTATGTTATGGATAATTAGGGATACAATGATATTCCAATAATCAGTAGTTCTGACTACCAATATTTGATAACAGGTATCAAGATCTGATAATGGAAAAGGTTTTCACTGAAGCTTTCAAACAAGAACCCAAAAAAGGTCAGGAAAGCAATAATTTCTTTCTCTCTAGTTTATTACTTTCAAGTTTTATCTCTCTCAAATTACATTCATGAAATCACATCCATTTTTTTAATGGCATCATTGGTGTGATATTCAGATTCTTGATTAAATATGGTATTAGTAAAATGAGACTTAATCACTTAGGAAACAAAGAACTAAGATGAAGGATTTTTTTCTTCACTGCAGTTACATATCCAATCCTAGGCAAAACATACACAGGGTATGGCAAAAAAAAAATGACCAACAACTTTCAACCTTTCTGCTTACACTGAAGCAATTTTTGTGAAACTTTCACTTTGCATATGAGTATGTTTCCAAATGATTCACATGTCATCCGAGTTTGTCGAGCCAAGGCAGTGCTATCAGCAATTAATGAAAAGAAGTTAGACATTGAGAATGGACATAAGTTCCTGTTGGTAGTGGAGTGGAGGTAACACTTGAGAGCGGTCCTTCCAGTCTAAAGTTAGCCCACCAACTTGAAGACTGCATTTGTGCTTATTTGTTTTGTGAACGCAACAGGCAAATGAGCACCATTACTGCTCTCCTGTCAGTTTAATCTCTGGCATCCTACCCAGCTATTACCATGAACCTTCCCCTACCTTTTTCTGTCAAATCTCTTGTTGCTCTTTCAGCTATTGCACATGTTCGCCCAAGTGAGAACCGACCTTCCTTTCGTAACACCAATCAGCTTTTAACGATAATTAACTTCCATTTTATCTCCCAATCCACGGGGGACGAAGTGTTCGGCGTCTGGTCCAATGATCACATCGTACCAAGTTCGTAAAAGGGGAGAAGGAACATGGGTATGGAACATCCCGTGTATTTAACAGCACCCAATCCTTGCTTTCATGCTCTAAAATTTAAGTCCTAGGTACGTGGGTCATCCCAAAAGTTCGAGAACATTTTGTTCTACATCAAGTTGAAACACAAAATGCAGCATTATTCCAAGTGAACTTTCTCAATATACTTCCTGTGCAGCTGCACATGCTTCTGCTACCATTCTATCAGCTTCTCAAGTCTTTCAGCAAACCATTTTACTGGGGTCACTTGAACCCACTGGTTCACAGTGGGAGCATGCTCCAAGCATGCGCCAAGGTCAGGTCACCCTTGGCGAATCATCCACTGGAATCCATTCTGCTTCAAAGCAATGCATCCACTTATTTATGGCACTTTTCCTGAAAAGTCTGTCCCTGTAAACTTCTTGCAGCTCATGACCTGAGACTTTTTCTGTTTCCACAGAAACCAAATCCCACCTTGCTGAACACAATCATCTTCTTACATAATGGTAAAATGTAGGTCTGCTTAAAAATGTGATATCTTTGCAACAGGAAGAAGCAGCTACGTGATCTTTCCTACGTTAGCACCATGAGACATCGATATGAACACTATGATAAGACCGTTGCTGTCGGATCACATGCAAAGAAAATATTCACTTTTGTTCTTGAACTTTTGGGATGACCCACATACTTTAGAACTTCAAGTCCCTGTGGGTGTTCCTGATGGGTCCATATGTGGGGGTTATTAATTATAATCTGACTCCAATTATTATAGTAACAGTGAGATCCACAATGAAATACGAAATGGTTTAACAACAGGAACAAGAGTATATTACAGAATGCAAGACAAGTAACTGGAAGAAGGATCCACCCAGGTGGTAAGAGAGAAGGATGTACCACATCCACATGTATATACACAGATAACTAGAATGACAGAATGAGTCCTCAGTCTCTGGCCTTCAAAGATTTTTTCTCAGTTCAGGCTAGGGGGAAGTCTCTTGAAGGTGGGAGGTGGAAGGGAGGAGGTGACACCTCCCCCTCACCCCCAACAGCTGCGTTGATGCACAATTTATCGATAGCTTGGCAGCATTTCTGCCCCAAAGGTTTGTCATGCTCAGTCAAATTGCGACTATTTTCACTATTATTTATCGCCACGGTATACTGGCTCAATCCCTTATGCGAAACTAGCATAAACCTTATTCCTTCTGGTTTCAAGTGTTGTTTAGGTCACCATGAGGGCCAACAGTTAAAAAAAAAAAACTAACTAATCCTGAAAGCTACAAGGCTTCACAAGCATAGAAAATGCCTCTTTTCAAGGGGTGGAGATTGTGGTGGCCTTCTCATAAGTACGTACACTATGTCAATCATTCAGGCTAGCTAACTTTCGTTACCAGGGAGAACAATCTCTCAGCACAGCTGAATCACATTATGCATACCTGGATGAAATAGTAGAATGCTCCAATGGGGAGGATGACAGCCAAAAAGAGTGGTGTGCTGAAGCTGTTCACCACCAATGTAGCAATCACCTGGATGTCGCATAGTCAAATAAGCATCATTCATTGAGCATGCACTTAGTTAATACACTCATTGTTGGAAAAAGGAAAGCAACACCATGGAGTTGACTGGTCTAGTATACATTTAGCATACAAGCTCATAGTAGCAGGTTATAAAAACAATTAACAGCATATGTCCGGTCGTCAATGTGTTAAGAGTTTCATGGGTATAGGATGAGTATTTATAGAGGAAACTTGCCAAATACTCAATTTTAATTGGAAACCATGGGGGGAATCATAAACCACCCAAAACAATCACCCAGAAGGTGATTTGAAACTATGAAACTCTCTTTTCTAACTTGAATTTCTCTTAATTTTCTTCCACGAAAAAATGAGTTTCCATTCCACATTTAACCTTTCCAGGAGTGGGTTTTACTGGAGGTGTGTGCACACCAGGGAAGCTTGGATTTTGGGGAAAGTAATGAGTAGGAAGAATGAAATTATTACATGCTCAGAACTTTATTTCAAGTGTCATAATTTTTTTTTCTTCTTTCATTTCAAGAACTTCAAAATGCTTCAGTGTGTGGTATTTCCTAAAGCAAGATTCAACACAGAGTGGGACATTGCACTACAAAATCACATAAATTTGGTGTCATTTCTCTGGCCTAGATGGCAGTTTGAGTGTTTATAAACAAGGCATTTACTTTGTGTCCTTGATCCATTTGATGTTATTTGTGGGGTAGAATGTGAGAAATGTCTCTCTGTGAGTCTCACAGGATTGTCCACACTTGGCCTTCCCAACTTGGCAAAAAAATAACCAAAAAACTTCCTCCTCCAGTCTCTGTCAGTCACACATGCTCTCTTGCCTGGGTTTCATTTCCAGCAACACTTGATGGGTTTTCAGACACTTCATTAGAGCTTTCACTCACTTCTATGCTTTGCACACAATTCCCTTCTGAGTTATCACTGCTGCTCTAAAAATCAAGTTCTGAATTGTTATTCATCACAGTTTATAAAATTTATTTTGCACTTTGAAGCAAAGTGACTCCTGTTCATCACAATGTTTAATGTTTACAGTAGGGTGGTTGCCAGTAATTCCCTAGATATTCATGTAGTCAGGGCAAAGGACTAAAGATGGCAACACAAAGCAGTAGAGGATAGGCCACATGACCCTCACATGCAGGCATAAGTTGGCCATAACCATATGGCCAGAGCCATTCACACAGGAAAGAAACAGGATGTACTGGTATGTCCATACTCCTGAAAGGGTTAGACTCCTTCAGGGTGTTTTTTCTTGGGCAACTAGTATGATCCCTACCTCCTTCAAAACTGAAGTGCTTGGCAAGATTTTTCTGTGATTACACACATTTAAAGCTCTTATCAATTCCATAGCTATGAGTTTGAATACCAAATTTCAGAAAAACCACCCAACTCCTTGGTATTGTTTTTTATTTTGTTAGCAAGCATACAATATGATTAATTATATCAGTTATACTACTGTAATAGTTCTCTTCTCAAGAAGAGACATATCTTGTAGAGTCTCTATTTTCTGTTACTTTAGTGTTGGGATACAAGGCTTTGTAGAGCTCCAATGATTCAGTCAATATTTTTTTGTTCATCTTCTATCATTCATTGTTCATTCATCTTGCATTTAACAATACCATATTTGAATGATCAGTTCACAGTGGCTTTAGGAATGAAGCAATATTCCATTGGTAATCTTTCTTTTTCCTTCTTTCCTTTTGCATTGTCATGCTTGTACTAATTCCAAAGCATGTTTGCAAGGCACAGAGAGAAGTCTTTCCCAGAAATAATTTGCCTGATGATGTTCCAAAATGTTATCACCTGAGAGTCCAGAAGGTGAAAGGAAAAGAAGAGTCTGCTTAAGGAAAAATTCATCACTCTGCCTAAATAAGGGAGGCTAGGGTGTCTATTTAGGCCCATAACAGCCAAGTGTGATTATATTCTTAATGCTAAATCAAATTGGATGTCCATTCAGAAAACCATTGATATACCATGAGTTTTAATACCTGTGCTTTAATAATAAGCCTATTGCACAATACTAAATTTTGGATCTTTGGCATTGATCTTTTCTGATATTTCATAGGTTTAACACGAGGTTACATGTTTTCCAGGAATATAACCATCCTGCATCCAGATCAAACAGGTATTGAAAAAATCCTAAGCTTATGCCACTCTTGAGAACCTATACAGGTCTGATACATTCTGCAGATCAGATTAAGTCCTCATTAAAATTTTGTATGCTTTTTTTAAACTGCAGTTTGGGCAAGTGGGATAAATTACATGAATTCAGTAATTGCTATCACCACTGTGATATTATCAGTTCATTGCAATATCAGCATTGGCCAGAATTCAATATCATTGCACTGCTAGTGAAAGGCAGAACCAGAATGACATTCAACTTTGCTACTTGAATTGAACAAGCCATGTAGATGAAACCCACGAAGCTTGTAGCAAGCATGCTTACAAACAACATGCAATATATCTAGGACACCACTCTCACACATGCACAAACAAAACCACACATTCACACACAAATACAATTCTCAATTCTAACATCTACTAACTCTAAATGCAAACCATGGCATCTAAAGCATGACAAGAAAACCATATAACTTCTAGTCCTCCACATTGCAGACAGAGAATCCCCTGCATTGAGAAAATGGCTTCATTTACCTCAAGAAAGCAGATTAACAAATCTTCCATGTACCAGGGTATTTTCTGGTCCAAAGTTGCAACATCTTGGGAAAATCGGTTTAAAATTCTTCCCACCGGATTGGCATCAAAGAATCCTTGGGGATTCCTCAATACATGGTCCAGGAGGTGATTGTGCAAATGCCAGGAAGCTTTGCATGACAGGGAATAGAGCATTGCTGATCCAGTTGCATACATGGCAGCTACAGAGAACAAAGAATATTCAGGAAAAACTGCAAAGAGTGAATTTAGAGACTCTTTACAAGCTTCCACGGCAGCTAATCTTCCAGCAAGGGCTCAAGAGTTCAATAATACTTGATCTCAAAAGTCCAACAAATGGAAGAAAAGTTACTGATGCTCCTTCCTGAATAAGAATAATTAACCATGGATTGCATTCAAAGCTCCAGCAGACAAAATACAAAAAGATGAAACAATTGCATAAACTATGCCTAGAGGCCTACCGCATAAAGGCACCAGAGCCATGTTCTAATGGTAGCAGGCAGGGTGTTGTCAATAGCATCAATATCCTTGGAAAACCGGTTCACAATGCGTCCCGTGGGAGTGGATTCAAAGAATGACACAGGATTTTGCAAGACATGAATGAGAAGTGTCTTGTGGACATGAGATGCAGCTTTCAGGGATCCCTTTGCTAGGAACAATGTTCCTATAAAAATCGCCACAGCTGGAAAGTAAATGTGTCACACCAAGATATGAACTTTTAGCCTTTAGGGTCCACTGATGTTAAAACAGGAAGCAATGAGAATGTCTTGAAATCCCAATTAACTATGCAAACAAAACAAAGAAAAGATCAAAGACACAGCCAAGAATACATCCCAAAGTCTTCCCAGCATACAAGGACACTATCTTGCAATGGAAGACAGGGAGATGAGATGTGCATTCAAAAGAAACAGGCAAACCACAGCCTGATGATTCCTGAAAATCAATCATCCAGTAATATTGGCATTCTCATCAAAGTAATTCATGATGCAACCAATGGGAAATATATTTTTTTTAAAACCACTGAATCAGACTTCAGAGTACATGAGTGCCAATTATGATAGCCAAAGCAATAACTTTCACAAATTCACACATCAGTAGTGAATTCAGCTATGCTTCTTTTTAAATTCTTCCATTTTCTCTCCTGTAATCAGCTCATCATTTCAGCAGACTGTAGAGTAAAAGGGATAGATAGATGTTATGCCTCAAGACTTTGATTAAATGCCAATCATGAGTAATCTGAATGATGATGATCAGTAGTTTTGGAGACACATCCTCTAATCCCTTAATGACCCCATGCCAAACACAAACCCCACATCTTCTACACAGTGTTGGCAAGCAAGCTAATTTGCAGAAAGTAGAGCAGGAGCCTTCTGAATGAGTAAGTCCTGATACCTGAAGGAAGCAAAATAGCCAGGATCGGAGCATCATGGGAAGAGTGACATCCAGGGTATCGACATCTTTGGAGAAGCGGTTCACAATCCTACCAGTGGGCGTTGTTTCAAAAAAGGACATCGGTCCTTTCAATATGTTGTTTAGGATGGACTTATGAAGGAAGGCTGATGCCAATAGCGTTCCCAGGGCCATTCCCAGTGACCCAATCAAGATGCTCAATGCTGCTCAAATCAAACATGTCTGTCAAAGCATCTTTTCAGTCATGACAGAATATAAGTGTCAGTTTTCATTAACCCTACAAAGCATGATTTTTTTAGCTACCAAAAAAAATTTAACGATAATATTTTTTCATGTGATTGATGAGAAAAATAAAGAAAAAATTATCCTTTCATTTTGGTTTTTCCATTGTATTGCAATATTTTTCAATGAAAAGTGGAGTGTGCCATATCTGGTACACCATGCAGTGTAGGATTAACATACTCTGCAGTCTCTCATCTTTTTCCCTACTTACTTCTTCATGTTTACCTTTTCAGTCTCTTTTTGGTCAAACAGGGCCATCAGATGCACCTTTGTCAAATAGAACAGTCAAATCTCAATCTGATCTTGATTTTGCAAGAACGGTGGCCATCGTTCAAGTGTTTTGTTAGAATCGGAGAAACTTTCAAGTTCTTTTAAAGTGGTATCATTTTTATTTATTTCATGAAATTTTTTCGTTAAAAAAAAGTCAAGACGGATGCTACTTCCATCTTTAATTCAGGAGGAAAAAAAAAATCATTTTTCATTAAAATATAACATGCCACAACTTTTCTCCTTTCGGGTTTCAGAATGTAAAGAAAAGCTCGCTTCGTGGTGAATATACGAGGGTCATGTCGCGACTTACATGGCATATCACATAATGGGAAGGTGACAGGCAAGGGGCGTGTCGCTTTTTATACCTTGCAGCTTTGCATCTTGCGAATATGTGT